TTAACATGTATGTATAATTTCCCTGACTGTTTAAGGCTGTATGTAAGGCAGCCAAACACACATAAGCACACTAGGCTTAATATATCAATATGAAAACAAATGTGTATTAGATCAGACAACTATTTAGGACTACTGACAAAAGTGTCAACCTGGGTCAAATGTGGAACAACAAGATTTACTAACTAAGATGCTGACACATAGAATAAGCAGCAACCTCACAAGTAGCCACATCAATGAAACAAAATGACTACCACCGCACCATGAGGTAACAAACAAACTACAAAGCCAACCAAGTTACTGCGTTTACCGACACAAACCGTAACACACATGTCCAACACAGTGTGGAGTGCAACAGCCACAAATCAAAAGGATCACCACAAGTAGACCAACTACAAAGTTGCTGCCATTCACTAATAGCAACACACTATGATCCAACAAAAGGGAACTGCCACTACCACAACACAAAAATGGTCACCATGTGATCTTCCAACCACATACACAAGTTACTGATGGATGCAGGAAACCAGCAACACTGGTTCACAAAGAGATACGTTGTTGTGCTCCCTATCTCTGTTTCTTATCTAATAGAACTGCTCGGGTCTTGATAGATTGAGTGGGGAAGTTCATGAGATCTTTCTCGAGGGTTATCAAGAATAACTTTTATCCAATGACCTTTTCCCTCTCTGTCTGTGTCTGTGTATTCTCTTGTTCCGATTAACCCAGCCAAATCTTTTTTCTTGTTTTGTATCTATATCTACGCCGGGATCCGGAGTCGAGGCTGATCCTCTTGCTGTAGTCCTGTGTCTTGGATCCTCTATCCCGAGTTCTGGATTAAGTCGTGGACTTCGGGTCGTGGCTGAACCTGTCTCTGCGGTCCTGCCTTGGGTCTCGTCATGCTGCTTCCCTGATGGCTTCCACAGGATTGTAGCTGACATCCTCGTGGATTCATCTTCTTATTACAGACACATGCATTTCCTTACCTTCGGTCTATATGCTGTAAAATGTATTATCTCTTCGATTTACACACGGCATCTATTGCACGTCTGTCCGTCCTGGGAGAGGGATCCCTCCTCTGTTGCTCTCCCTGAGGTTCCTCCCATTTTTTCCCCTTAAACTATGGGTTTTCTCTGGAAGTTTTTCCTTGTACGATGTGAGGGTCTAAGGACAGAGGGTGTCGTTTTTCTCATACTGATATTCTGAACAATCTGTGCTGTTGTATTTGCTGTAAAGTGTCTCTACTGTAGGCTATTTTTATTATATGTACAGCACTTTGGCTCCACCAAAAATCGTTTATAAATGTACTATATAAATAAAACTTGATTTGATTTGAACACAAGCTCACTTGACGAACCAGGCATGAGCAACTACTAATTTGCTACAATTAAATAAATGGCAGCCACAACACCCATGTGACCACCAAAAAGCGGACTGCAACAACCACAACACACATGGTCACACTGTAGTACACACAAATGTTGCCCACTTACACCTAAGCAGCAATCCGAAAGTGACCCAACAAATATGGAGTGCAGTTATTACTAACTAAAAATGTGACAAACCACAAGTTACTGAACGTACAGTTATTATAGCTACACAGAATGGCCCAACAAAAGAAGAGTCACAAGTTGCTGTGTAAAAATAGTGAATACAAGCAGTAGTGAGGCACCCCAACCAACCCTGAGCTGCTGGTGGAGATGACTAACTTAACCTAGCCTAGCTAGGTGACATATCTAGGACCTAGATATAGCCTACACAGCAATACACTAAAGCGTACCCCCACTCAGGATTACCACCAAAAATAAGAAAGGCAAAACAAAAAAGTGGTAAGATCTTCCAACCTGTCTGGTGACTAGTCAGGGTGCAAACTGAAATTGCTAGCTGGTGAAACAATCAAATGCCCAACTAAACAGCAATAACCACACATTAACTCAATCCAAATCTCTACAAAGCAAACAACGGCCACTAGATACAGACAAATACTTACACATTTACCTCACCTCATGGACATTCAATCTCAGACGAGTCCGCATTTCTAATGCCCTACCCTTAAAATGGCTCTATGGGGCTAACAAAATGACACAACTGACCCAAATAGAACACAGAAGACACCTTCAAATAAATAAAATCCATAGCATTTATTATAATCATAGTGTACAAATATCCATCCTGGACAGAGGCAGAATCACAGCAGTCCTCTTGACCTCTTCTTTCTCCAGATGCAGCTCATATGAACCTTGTAGCACCAACACAGCACACCAGGAAAGAGGAATAGGGAAAAAGGAACAGGGAACACATAAAGCCGTAACAGTATTTATGATGTTGAAAATGGGCATTGTGTATGAGATGAAAAAACAATAAAAGAAAGTTGGCTCAAAGGTATAAAGCTTCATGTTGTTAGATTTTAAATTGGGTATATTATTAGCAATTGCAATTCATCCTGAAGAACATGAATGTGTTGTTCACAAAACCCATCTACTAACAGTGAAGAAATGTAACAGAATGAGGGGACACTTTAACTTGCTCATGGCGCTAGTGGGAATGCCAGGGGATGACAATGTCAGTATAAATTATCCTCTGGGGACCATGAATTTCAGAACATGATGACATCCATCCTCATGTTGCTAACACCTGTGCGTCATGATGCAAGCAAATCTGTGATGGGAGGAATCATCCACTCCAGCTGCAGTGTGGCAGTTTTGCAGCTTTTTTTTACCAAGTGCACAATAATGTGGATCAGCTAAAATGATTCCCACTCTAAAAGCTCTGTGTGGATCTCAACAGCACAGCCCCTTCAGAGCTGAGTGTGTTCAGCCTCCTATACACACTGGAATTGAAACACTTCACCTGTACTTTCAGGGCAAAAAGCTCTCATTTACGTTTGTATATCTGAAAGTATCTTATCTATGTGTCTTAACAAATTATATAGCTTATTAACGGTCAAAGTTAATACAAAAAAGCTTCTCATATGTGAGGATTAACTCAATTTATTTAGGTACATGGACCCAGGTACAAAGAAACACAATGTGAATACAGGGCATCAGGAAACCTAGAGTATTCATTTGTAAAAACCATAATCATCAGCCTCCAAAAGTTAAATGGAAAACTAATAAATTAAAAACGAATTAAAGTGCTTTACTTCAGCTTTAGACTTTTACTTTATTACATTTTAGAAGGAAATGTTTCATTTTTTTTTTACTGCACAGCTTTACTGTAGGTTACTTTTGAGATTAAGAGTTTACACAGAAAACACAGTATGAATTCATAAAATATCAATCAGAATCAGATTATTGTGCTATGCAAAAGTATACAAAAGTACAATTGTGCCTCACCCAATACAACTGCAAAAACTCCAAATGATCAATTGACAGATTAATCAGTTATGGTAATAATAACAACAGCTGCAGCTCTGGACTCCGTGGATCTCATGACTTTACAGTGTGCCATCTGAAGGGGAGTGAACAGATCACATATGATGGTTACACCGTTTTACGCTTCACCTTGACTGAACATGTACAATACAAATCTTAGTCATAATGAGTCTTGGAGAAGGAAAGGTCGGCGAGGGCCCCCTGCTCTAATTTGTTTCTCAGTAGATTCACCAGGGTGTAACCTGTCTCTTTCCCAGGGCATAATGGGATAGGCTCCAGCCCCCCGCAGCCCTGAAGGGGGTTTAGCAGCTCAGACAATGGCCTGATAGATAACATGGATGGATTATTCATACTCACACCCTGAGATTATCTGGGATGAAGAGGATATTTTTCACCTATAACTATCATACAGTTTATTTTAAGAAGTAAAAAACCTGGCTCATTTAAAGCTGGTCTTCTATGGGGAAGACAAAAGTTCAACAAAGAAAAAAATGTCAAGGTATTCTCCTGGCAAATGGCTTGTGTCGGATGGGTATTTCATAGTCAAATAAATACTTAAACAAATATTTATAACAGAAAACCTCAAACCTTTCTTCTTTATGATTATAGTTGTGTCAGAGGCAGACATTGAAATGTGTTTCTGCATCCTTTTTTTAGTATTCTTTTTACATGTTTAGCAAATGTGTCATTCTTAGATTGTAGGTGATGGGTTGAAACTGTTATTTAATTAGCTGTGTTCAAATTTGGTCAATCATGTGGGTTCAATACACTTGAATTATTTCTGCCTATGCTCTTTCTCAAACTATAATAAGTATTAAATAAATACACTGCAAACAAATGATCTGCTAAACTGTGATTAAAATAAAAGTGAAAGCTCTACTGCCCTCCTGCGACAGAAGAAGCACTATTAACTGAATGCTGCATTCAGGGCATGTACAAAAAAGTAATTGCAGGAGTCTCGTTGAAAAACACATTTTGCATCAATATGTTGAGAGGTATGACAACCTTTATTTCTTACAGTATGTAAAACATGTGTTTAAATGTGTGATTTGTTTGTGTTAGCGTCATCTAGCATATTAATTTAGCATGGGATAGAATAGAACCGATATAATTGAATCGGCATCACCACTCGCCCTCACATCCCCACAATTTCCCATAGACTTTGAATGCAGCACTGGGACCAGACTGCCTCACATTGTTAACGTTGATTTCTCCCGTTCAAGCCAACATTTTTGTCTCCCGTGAGCTAAACCGGGGTCAGAGGCTCCCACAAAACGCATGAAATCTCGGCTACGTGTGGCAGGGGGACGAGCACCGTTAAACTGTAAGATACTCCGCAGTGTATTGCTACAATTAGAGTCAGTAGTCGGCATCAAGAAAGAGTCAGTAGCGCTCAGTATAAACAAGCTAACGATAATGTTCACGATTCAAAATATGTCATATTCACAGGGGCGGCGAGTCATTGTTGTAAATAAGAAAAGCTCATGTGTTCGGCTTTTAGTTTGGGTTTCTGGGGGGTGTGGCTTATTTAGTACGAACTTAAACTGGGTTAAACACCTGTCTCAGGTCCTTATTTAAAGAAGATATGACTTTACTCAGCAGTCATTTTTTTCCCTTGTTGGGCTGAAAGGAGGAGGCTAGCGTGTTTCCCATGGCTACACCAAGCTTTCACATGGAGGGGGGGGGTTAGTTTATTTGCCTTCCTTATTAGTGGTGACTTAATTATTGTTACTATTATCTTAAGCAGCTGTTATTTAGTTCATTAATTGAAACGGGTGAAATAATAGAGATATTAGGGACGGGGAGAGCAGCTCCAGGAGTCGTGACGTCGCCCCGAAGGTGCAGGTTCATTAGTCCGTCAGTTAGGTCTCCTTTTGTTTGCACACCTTCTTCCAGTTCATAGTCGACGTTTAATGGTTTACCCCCCCCCCCCCTCTGTTGATGTGTTTCCCACTTGCTTCGGAAGCTCTAACATGAGGAGGATTGTTTGGCTGTAACCCTGCCCAGACCGGAGGCTGCTGGTAGGGATGGTGCCGCTGTGAAGAGCCGGGGTGCCGTTTTTCCGAGGACATGCCTGCGGTCGGTGGAAAAGGGAGGAAGTGCCTGGACAACATGACTGTTTTCAACCAAGAAAATGTTGAGGAATTTTACGTTATTGGAGACGAGCTGGGGAGGTAAGTTTCATTTATTGAGGTATATTCTTATTCCGTATACACTTCCCCTTTTTAAGGTAGAAGTGTGAGAGCGAGGGTGAAAAAACTACCTTATCTCAGTTTATACAGGATTATGTTAAGCATTTTTACCTATCTGTCTATTCTTATAGCAAATCCTTGATGTATGTTGTCATGCCACGACAATGCATACAGATTTAAAGCACATACAGTGATGCACACTGTCATTCAAGCATGCTCTCGTACTGATCCTGTGTCCACACATGCATCCCCCCACTGTGATTAATGCAGTCCATAATGCATCAATGTCACAGTGATGAAGCGGTTAGTGTCTGGTACTGTTGCTGCCTCTGCCTGGAGATTTATTGCAGGAGGAAGCCGGATGGTATCACTGTATACATCTTTACAGGGAGAGGATTTACATCATGGCACCGCCTGCTTTCATTTCATTCACAGTGTTTGGTCAAAGGTGAAAGCTCTACACAGAGAAACAACAATGTAGATGATAGAATGTGCCAAGACAGGTGCTTTGGGTCTGTTGAGTTTCTTTCAATCACAAACAAGGGGGCCACATTCAAGCAAAAGCCTGAGTGATGGCCTTGTGTTCTATGTAATATGAAAGTGCAGTGTTAAAACTGATGGCTGTCTAGTTCTTAGCTTAATTTTTCTGCTGCATGGATCAAAACGATAGCCCACATACCACCCATGACTGTCAGAAACATGGAAATGGATCTCCGTGAGTTTCTGGTTATCAAAGTGACACATGTACTTGGTTTTGGTAATAATCAACCAATTGTTTTCTGATCTCCAGGGCCTGTCTGGCAACACTGCTTCTCCTATTAGCGCTCACCTTCCAGCACTGTGGGGGAGAGCTGAGGCTGCTCTAGTTGCTTTACTATGCTACTTTGGTAATAGAGACGGTTGAGGAGCTTTGTGTAATGGGATTGAATTTCTGGCTGGAGGTAAAGAGACGGCTATGTCAGTGTGATAGTCACATTTGGTCGTAATTCCAACATCAGGATCCAGTCTCTATTGTGAGTTGAGTGTAGCTTTAAGATGTTAAATTGGGTTGTGTACCCTCATAGTTCAATAGGCAGGGCTATTTTGACATTGTGTTGAAATATGGTAAACATTGGCTGCTCTTGTAATAAAGGCATCCATGCAAGCTGCTGTTTCGAGTCAGCTCTAATATAGAGCAACCGACTGGGTATTGTGCAAGGCTGATTTTGAAAGGATTTACCTGTAATGAGACAAGAGTATTATGTATGACTTAGGGGAGTTTAATGCAACCGCAAGGTAAGAAAAATACATTAAGTACAGTTGGTTCAGATGATAATTTATCAGTGGGAGGCATGTTTTGCTTTGGGTGAAAAGGGCAGCTATTAAAGGTTGTAATTTCAAATCACAAACAAATACCATTTTAGAAAATGTATCCTGCTTTCATCAGCAGGCCACTACTTTTTATTTTCTATTTTGGGTAAAGCGTAAATGAATGCCCTCAAACGACGAGGGAACAGGTGGATCAAAACTCATGAACCAGGTTGCCTTCATTAAAAACGTAAATGATGTACTTCAAACCATTTACTGAATCTAACCTTGAATGGCATGCAAACCATAGGATAAGCAAATGTATGAATCTCGTGCTGTATTAACACATTTTAAAATATTTTCTTACATGCTTTAACCTAGATGGACCAGTTAATTTATTATCAAAAACTGATGAGTCTGTATTCATTAGCTAGATTACAGCGGCATGACCTGCACTGTAATGCCTTGCACACTTAAAGACAGAGAGGCTTTTGATCTGACTGTACTCCCGGCCTGACTGTGGCTTAAATTGGAATGAGGCCCAATTTGGTTTGGCAAAACAAGAAAATGGGAAATCACCCAAGCAGGGACTTTATCCTTTCACTGACACTGCCTGCTTTACTTTGCATGCATGGTGGAACTGAAGTCTGGTGAAGCCAAGCATCTAAGCTTCATTAGTAGCTAGTAGGGATGGGTACCGAGCCCCGGTATTAAACGGGCCCCGGGGCTGAATTATTAAAGACCGTGGTACCGTTAAGCTCCGACATTATCGGTCTTTTTTTCGGTACTGGAGACATGTAAAATATATGCCATATGTATTATTGATACATAAACATTATATTGCAGTTTTAGTGTCGTCAACTCTGTTTCTAATATGCAAAAAGACTGCAAAATTCATCTGATTATTTTTAGTACACACACACACACGCACGCGCGCGCACACACACACACACCTGTAGCCGAGGGAGATGTGTAACGCATCAGTTAGGGTGTGCAGTCTGATCCTGTCTCAAAGTGTTTCCCCGGCCACTGGAATCACCTTCTAAGTCTTTACTATCCAGAGTGATGGATTCATCAGACCTTGATTCAACCTCTTTTTGACCTGGATCAGTGTTTCTCTTCTTCGTCAAAGTGGTGTTCCAAATAGAGCTGCGTTTTTAAATAGCTAATCGCTATTGTTTTGACTGATATTGCAATTGCGATACGGTTTACGATATTAGGAGGGATTGATCATTTTCGAATCGTTCTTGTCATTATTCTTGAAATATATATTAATATAATGATTGATGACAATTTTTTGTTTTAAATCTGTATAATATCAGTAGTAGGATGAAATATCCCTGCAGCAATACTTGATATTTCAACAGTCTCACTCTCTGATCGTCAAAGAGCGACGCTTGGTCAGGGTCCTATGGCGTGCAGTTGTGACGCTCCTAGGCTCCTTCAGCTTCATAAACGGACGCAAAGAGCTTTCAACTGATTGCAATGTATTCCCATCGGCGGCGGTATTTGACGCTTAGGGAAGCACCGCATCCGTCCATGTCGGCGGCAGTTAAAGGCAATGTGAGCGTCCATTCCCATTGGATAACGGAGAATTTTACACCCGGAAGTAAGTATTCTCCTTACTGTGGATTGATTTTACAGTGATATCTGCACTACTCATCAACTCAAACACACCAGATTATCCTTGTTGATTACACAACATTGATTGGTTTAAATTGTGTGCAATGCTTTTGTGTTTTTCCCCTTCGAATCGCACACTATTCAAAACTGGACCCAGAACTACACATGCTGGCTATATGTGTGTTTCGCAACATGTTCTCTGGGAATTGTAGTTTTAAAAGACGTTTTCGTATTTCCCATAATTAGAAGTTGCCAGTATTAAACTGTGTACATCCCTGGAGGTTTAGGGGATGGGAAACACATTGGTGTCTATAGACGAGTGATTGGAATATGATCTATTGGATACATAATTTGTAAATTGCAGCCAGATTAATGTTGTGGATGTTGTTTCAAAAGTTCAGGTGTTTAATATTCTTCTGGCCTGTGGGATGAAGCTGTCCCTGAGTCTGGTGGTTTTAGTGCTGATGCTGCGGTACCGCCTGCCAGACGGCAGCAGACAGAACAGTTTGTGGCTGGGGTGATGGGGGTTCTTTTGTAATCCTGAGGGCTTTCTTTAAGGTTAACGTGGTGTTTTTACTCCACTACATTTATTTTAGTTACTTTACAGATTCTGATTAATGATGTGAAATATAAACAACCCTTAAATCAGACTTTAGTTACACCTGAGTAAAATTCAGGGAAGGTGATTGTCAAGTGCCAACAATCAGGTGAGATATTTGATAGTTGGTGCTTGAGAAGAATAAAAATGTATCTGCAGATCCCTATACAGCATATTCATTACTCGTTATTCTCTACTAATAGTTAGCCGTGTGTGGCGTAGTGGGTTGTCTGTAGGTGTTCGGATCAGGGGTTCACGGGTTCAAACCCCACTGCAGTCAGCATGTCGTTGTGTCCCTGGGACACTTCACCCCAAATTGCTCCTGTGGGGATTGTCCACAGTATTGAGTATGTAAGTCGCTTTGGATAAAAGCGTCTAACAAGTAATGTAATGTAATGTAGTTCATTAAAAACTGTATATAATGGCTATTTTGCACATCCCTTTCAAGATTTCAAGAATTCTCTGTTATCCAATGGGAATGGACGCTCACATTGCCTTTAACTGCTGCCGACATGGACCGATGCGGTGCTTCCCTGAGCGTCAAATACCACCGCCGATGGGAATACATTGCAATCAGTTGAAAGCTCTTTGCGTCCGTTTATGAAGCTGAAGGAGCCTCGGTGCGTCACAGCTGCACACCCTGACCAAGCGTCGCTATTGGACTATCAGGGAGTGAGACTGTGTTGGATATTTTAACACATAGTTAGCCTTTAACAAACATTGTGCTTTCTGTGATTCGAATATTGCCCTTGTCCAGATTGCGATTCTCAATACAATTTAGATTAATCGTGCAGCCCGAATACCAACCCTCTAGAGGTGCAGAAGGCAACTTCAATCATTGAAAGTGCAAAATGCTCTGTCATTAAGAGATATCAGTGGAGTCGCCATTCCGGTTGCTGTTCTCCTGAATGCTCATTTTCTCTAAAAGGCCGAGCACTGACCACATCTGTTGCGACCTGGCTCAAAAGGCCACAACAAAAAGGAGACACAACATGTCAACGGGTAGGTAAAGGTGTTTATTTGCACAACACTGGTCAATTCAACACATTGGTTATACTCATCAGAGCCGGGTGCCTGCAGGAAAACAGAGCGAGAGCAGACAGGAGCAGAGAGGCTTTAAAATAGCTGCAGAGCACCAGACCCAGGTGCCCTGAGTTACTGCAATCGGTGCAATCACTGGAGCCAATGCAGCACAGACAGAACAGCCACACCCTATCTACTGATGCACCCACAGGGGCATCACAGCCCCCCCCTTAAGACGGGGCCCCAAAGGGGTCCACGACAACCCAACATCCTTCTTCTTAACTCCAGCTTTTTACTTTCCATCTTAGGACTGGAGGACGCTCCTCCTCCGCCTCTGTCTTCGAGCTCTTGCCTTGCGATTTCGTACTGCTTCTTCGATTCCACTGCCTTTATGTCCCACTCCTCCTTGGGTTGGCTGGCGTTGAGCCACAGCATGTAGGCGCTCATCGGC